CATATTACAACCCCATTTCTGAGAATTAGAAAATAATATTAAAAGGAAGAAGAGAAAGAAAATTCATGTAAATGAAATAAAAGAAACTTTACACGAATCTAAAATTATCTTCCGACAGATTCAAAGTAAGCTTTTTCAGAAAATATTGCGCATCCAGATCATCAAACATCCCAACTGCACACAACAGTATCCACCGACTTCGCCGATTTTCCCTTCGTGTATTCAATAACTCATCCCATAATGCACCTTGGCCTCTCGCGTATTTACGCATCGGTTTTCCCGCAAGCGATACATCATTCGTTAAGCAGCGAAGCGACCTTTCACGTACCGCTGTTATCCACAGGTCCTCTTCGTGAAACTGTCCTTGCGTTTGCACAGATTTGCGCGATATATTATACGAATCGTGTGGCACGTCCTCGATGGCCGCTTTACTTCATAATTCATTCGGTCATTCAACGACTCGTCCCGTTATTTCTCTGCCCCTTGCTGCAGTCTGCGGATAACTCGCAAATCTGATTATCGATCGGTAATCAATATCGGTGCAATTTGGCGTTACGCCAGGGTAACGTGTGTGTACGTGTATCCCCCTCGTATGTGCGTCCTTCGGCTGATCCCCGATAGGGGATGATTGAAAATGGTGCACGTGCGACACCAACTAATCGCGCTTTGAACGACTTCAAACGAATTTTCGACGATGGACGATCGTTTTGGAATTAGAATTTTCGTGGAATTTGATTCATTTCGATAGTTTTTTTATTGTTTATATTTTATAGAGAAGAGGTGTATACATTGTGTATAAATATTATCTTTATTTAATTTTCTTTTTTTTTTATGAATGTTTTAGTAGAAATAACATTTTGCAAATTAATGGAATGTATATATAATAGAGAATAAAATAATCAATATTTGGAGAATTTAAATTGAATAATTTTTTAGTTATTTGAGTTTTTAACAAGTGAATTTTATAATAATAATAGAATTTTTTTATTAAGGATTTTCATCCTTGTATAAAAGTCAATTATAAAAAGCGTATTACGTTGATTTTAGGTCACACCGCATATTTAATCAGATAATTCAATAGATGTGATTTTAAATAGCTTTAGGTCAATAATTCAATTGTGCGTATCTTTAAGTAGTTCGTATCAATGATTCGTACTATACAGTCATACTAAAGCATTCAAATAGTCTATAGATGAATGAATAGATCAATAAATATTCATGATGGTAATTTGGATCAATAATTCAATCATAGATATTAATAATTTATGTTAATAAATATATAAATCATTGATAATGATTAATCATAATAGGCATATAACATTTGAAATAAATAATGTCAAAATAATTATTTTCTCATAATATGAAATATCAATTAAATTATTATCCTTTCTTCTTAAAATATAATGAAATATGCGTTTAATGATTTATTAGATCAATTGGTTTTAATTGTAATTCATTTGTCGACATGATACACCAGTGAAAAAAATAATGAAGTTCACAAGAATTCACTTTAAATTATTACCATTATAACAATCATAAAAATAAATTTGACATTTAATCTTATTGTTAAGTTTAATTCCATAATAATAATAGATACAATATGACATAATCAAGCAAATACCATTCAAGAAAAATATCTTAAACAAACAACTATTCATCAAATCCCAATATTTTCTCAAACGATTACACTCCACTTTAATTCGTATCTAAATCGTTGGCAGAAGATTCTTAATAAAAACACAGTGGGTTCAAGTTTAATCTCCTTCTTCTATTTTGATACATCCCTACGGATATCGATTTCTCGTTTAGGAAGCAATCAAGCGGCAGGCCGTTTCCTTAATACGTTTATTTCTCTCTCAGATTTGATCCAATGTCTTGTAGAACAGCTATACAACGAACCAGCTGCGGATGCATATTCATGCTACCTTTCATTTTTGCTCTACGTTTACCCTTCTCCTCTTGTGCTGTTATATTACTCTAATGTAATTTTTCAGGCATATTGCGCTAACTGCGGACCCTGTCCCGATATTGCGTTTTTTCGTATCTTTTCATCGTCAGAGATGGTGCACGGCTCGTAAATGATTAGCTGTATGAATTCATTTTTCTTCCAATATGAATTATGTTTTGCAATTTGGAGTTTTTAGAAGGAACGTATGTTTGATAAAAATTCTTTCGTTTTCTCTCAATTTTTATTACAATCGTTTTCTCGTTTTTTTTTTGTTGCAGTCGTTGTTGATAGATATTAAATAGAAAATCGTTGTATTATTTATTTGACGATAAATAATCTACAAAAGTAGTATAACATAGTATAGTAATATATCAGGCACGTATTATTTTAATGAATTTTGTGCATAATATATATATATATATTTTTAAACGAATTTTTCGTTATGTATTAAATATGGAAAGCATTATATATATAAGTTCGTTTTAAATTTTAAATAGTTTAATTTGAATAATTTCAATGGATTCCTTTTAAAAATTATTCAATTATTTTTCGTGAAGATTTCTTTGAAGAGAGTTTTTTTTCTTATAAAAGGAAAAGTATTACTGAGGAATTATGAAATTTAAATTTTGTTAATTGAAGAATAATAATTATCGTTATATTTTACTTCTTTTTTTAAAAATCTTTGTGAATTTTATATATAACTTAAATATGCAAACGTTTCATAAAAATTTATTCTAAAAATATAGAAACGTAACGAAGAATTTATCAATTTTCCGATTACCCCATGCCATTTTCCTTTATAAGTTTCTAAATGTCAAGAGCTATTCACACGAGCAGCGTTCTCTCACAATAACATCGTGCAAAAGTCGAAGCGATATCGCAGTTTTCCTGCAACGTGCAATGCGAACGTGAACGTCGTTGACACGGAAACATGATGGATGTTTTGGGCGTGAGCCATTTCAACGATACATCAATTCACTATACATGTCGAATGGTCGCAAAGTGATCCCTTTGTTACCACCTGGTACGTTTCCGTGCATTCAAAACTAAATTTTGCATAAATAAATAATCCTCCAAATTGATAACTGTCTACAACTCTAAAATCGAATATTTATCCCTCGATTTCTTCGAAAGAATGTTTTAAAGAAACATAAAATCCAGCAGAAATTTCTCAATAAATACCCCAAATTTTTTAAAAGCTTAGAAATAATTATATAATAAAGAAATAAAATAAAAATGACACGCAAATTAGAAAACACGATATAATAAGAATGAAATAAAAGTTAATTTTTAATTCATTAATTTTTTCGAGAAAAAAGAAATCGTATTTGATAAAATTTTTTGTGCGTTCCATTGTTTCGCGTTAGAACGAATTATGAAATCGAAGAGAAAAAGGAAAGGAATTTTACGAGGTTGTACGTATGCAATTTCGTGAAAGAGATGGCACGTGTTATAATTTCCGAGATTCATTGTTCAGGAATTAATTTCTCATTTCGCGTTTCATTGTTTGGTCGCGGTCTTTTATATTCGAATGGGGAGGACGAAATTTCAGGGACCTCGTGATAACAAAATTGCTTGGAAATAAGTAATGATTGTGTTGAATATAAATTCATAAATGTTTTTTGTTTCTCGTATTTGTATTAACATTTTCTCCTTTCATTATTATTGGAATTATGAATCATAGAAATGTAGTTTTTAAAATATATGGAATTCTTGTATTATGAAACGTAGGACAGGATATAGATTTTTCGAATGTTATTTAAATTTTATAATAAAAATATATAAAAAAGTATATAATATTAGTCTTTGTCAGTGATGTAATGTATCATTGATCAGTCATATTGATAATGACTTAATGAAAAATGTGTATTAAATAAGTGACATATAAACGTCAAATATTTTTCACTTGAAAGATGAATTTTTTCTTTACATTAAAATTATATACGTTTTACTTTCAACGTTGCATTTGTATTATAAAACAGAAACCATTATTAATTTTATCAAAAAAATATCAGAACATTTTCCATCAATCATGAAAATAAAAAAAAAATCTATTCAATTGCTAATCATTATGCTTGTTCGATAGTTCCAATATTAAAACAGAATACAGGAGAGTATTCCCCGATTTTAATCCGAAGAAGAATCGACACCCCATTAAATACCTTTCGGTCCAAGAGATCAGACAGGGATCCCAATAATAATTTTTTGCTTCCGTTCGAAAAGTTTTTCGCTAGATCCAGGAAGGTGGTTTCCTGTCAGAAACAGCTTCTGGCGTGGTTTATGGTGTGCCTCTTGCACTTACCACCCCAAAGGAGGAAGGATTTCGGTGGAGCCCTCCTCCGGCCGAGCATAATGCTTCCATTATCTCCAGTCCTTTCTGTACCGCGCGTTGCTTGCCTAATATACCGGGTGTCCGCGTAATTTCCCGCCTCCTCCAATCCACCGAGCCGATTTCCGTTTACCCAACGATCCTTATGACACGATCCTCATAAACTCGAGGAAACGAGAGGACGATACGAGAGGATGGGAGTGAAACGAAGGTGAAAACGCACGATGGGGAAAAAAGGATAGAGGAAAGATGGTGGCCGTGTCAGCCGGCCAAAAACCATTACGGTAATATCTCGCTAGGCGAGGAAGTGATTTTTAAGAAGAGTCTCCCATCATTTCGTGGCAATTTCGTTTCCCCCCCATAAGCATCTCTATCTTCAACAACCCTAGATGCTCTTATAAGAAGAACGATTATGAAAATTTCCGCATCGTTTCGGAAAATCATTTTCTTAGAATCCGCTCAAGCATTCCCGCTTATTGTATCGCTGTCACATAGACTCGATATTCTCTTTCTATCTTGAAACATTTGGAAATTTTAAAATTACTATAGTTGAACAATCCCTGAAACATTTAATCTTGCAAATATATTAATACAGAAACGTATGAAATTACGCGAATCATGTAAAATGTCTTAACGATTAAACAAATATTGAAAAATATTACCATTTTAACATATCTCTCTGTCTCTATAAATTATACTCATCAAGATTGATTCTTCTTCCAGATCCATCCGCTTCCGGTTCTTCCTGCGAGGATGACGAGGAGGGTCGGCGGGTGGACATCAGAAAACGCAAGAACAGTTTGTACGCGTCTACCTCGACGCGCGCTCCATCAGTAGACAGGGAGAAGGAGTTGAGCTCTGCCGAGGGGGCGTTGGTCGACTGCGTGGCCCTGGTGCATCTCACCGATCAATCGCCAACCGAGTCCAATCAACCGGTCCGTCATCCATCGCCTTATTATTACGGCGACTTGTTCAAGGTACCTGAGCAAATAAGCAAAACACAACCGAACAGGTATAGAAAGAGCGTGAGCCTCGACGTACCGGGTGAACGGTCTCGAACACCCGGTATACCGAAGAGAAACTCGGTAGCGGGTGATGGGGGTTCCTATTCGTCCCAGCAACAGCAGCAACAACCACAGCAGCCGCTACATTATCAGCAGCAGCAGCAGCAGCTACAGCAACATCAATTACAGCAACATTATCAAAGTCAGGATCTAGTGAGCCCCACGTCGGGGAGCGAGCATGCTGTCCCAGTCAGAAACGAGATCCTCTCGTCGTGCATCATCACCGAGTGGGATCACACCCTCATGCCTCCTCATAGATTGTTAAGCCATGACCTACCGACCACCGTTTGTACCTGCGTCGCATCGGCTGAGGAAGAGGAGGATGAGCTAGATCAACGGCAGCCGCAGTTAACGCGGCACCAAGTGCGCAAGCTACGCCGTACACGGAGGATAGACCCGCAGCCGATACTCGTCGAGGACGAGGACGACGTGGAGGGAGAGGACGAGGGCGAGGAAGAGGAGGAGGAGGACGTGGAGGTGGAGGAAGACGAGGAAGAGATGGCTAGGCAACGTCACCTCTACGAGACGGCCTTCGACTGCAAGGTCAATCGCTCCGACGATGACCTCGATGACCTCGATCGGGTCACCAATCATCCCGTGTTGCATTCCCAGGTATTTCAAAAAATCGAATGGAAAGGAAACTCTGTTTAAATAAAAATTAAACATTTCTCGATAACAAACGATTAATAAATAAACAACGAATAATTCTATCTTTGAAAGTTGATTTCAAAGAAATATTCCATGAAAGAAGAATACTTTACGTGTAATATCATGCTTTGCGTAAAATTTCATTTTAGAATGAGAATTATCGATGATCCAATAGATCATTGTATCTCAGAATCATTTTTACGATTAGAATTATTAAGTTAAACGAGATGCGATTCAAGATGTTATTTCTAAAAAATGAAATTTAATATTTTGACCATTATTTTTTATTTCGCTTGTGATATGAAAGAGTACAGGGGGATCATTTTTACGTGAACATCTGTGTTTGCAATTCATTTTCCAGACCCCGCTCCGTTCTCCGGTATTATGGGGAAGTAAGCACGGCAGTCTTTAATGAAAATCAATTAAAGTCCAATATAGCTGAAAATGTTACAGGATTCCCGAACACGGACTATGAATCTCCCCCCTATCAAGCGCAAATTGAACTTTAATTGCGGTCGAACCGTATACTTCTCTCGTGGAACGTAATTAGGCCTTCGTATTGTATAAATTCATCTTTAATATACTCGAAACGTTCTAGACAGAATTAATTCCCCGATCAATCTTCAACCCTCGCGATTAACTTACGTTCAATTGATTATGAACCTACCTAATAACAAATAAGTATCGTTTGACGACACTTAGATAAGAAGCAGCAGCGCGATACCAGTGAGCAGAACGAGTTCATCGACGGACACGTCTAAGCAACAGCAACAGCAGCAAGCTCCGTACGCTGGTCAGTCCCATAGCAACAAAGATCGACGCAAAGTCGTACTTCTCCGCCCAAAACCTATTCCGAGCCGTCTTCAGCAGCAGCAGCAACAGCAGCAATCAGACAATATTTCTACTCTGTCCCAGGATATCGAATCCCTCCAGATCAATTCGAGTGACGAGAAGACCGGTTCGCCGAGATTACCGGCCCGTGGTTACACACCGTCGCCGCCATCCACGGCACCGTTGCCCGCCAAATTCCACGGCAATCGTGACCACTTGTTGTTGAACATACGAAGCACACCCAATCTACCCTCTCAGCCGGACCATCCGCGTCTCAAAGATCTCAGATTGCCCGTCAAATCCTCGTTAAGGGCGAAAGACTCGCCGCAGAGCAGCGAGGGCAGTATCCTCGAGATCAAGAGTAGACCGAAGAGTTTTGCTCAAGACACCGTTGAGTCGTCGCAGGGGCGACGTTTCGACAAGGAGTTGATCCTAGAGTTCAAAGGGAGGCCGAGGGAGGACAGGCAACGACCGAGGAGCCTGATCCGCGAGAGCAAGCCCATCATGGAGTTCAAGGGGAGGCCTCACGAGGCCGAGAGCGATCTGTTACGGCCTCGCAGGGACGTTGGCCTGTTGGAATTCAAACTGCGTACCAGTAGACGCAGACCAGGCTATTCCAGCACCGAGAGCATGGCCACGAGTAGCAGCGGCGGCAGCATGGAGTCGCTACGAAGCAGCACCAGCGAGGGCAACAGATCAACGAGCAGCTCGGAGAGCCGTCACAGCACCAGTCTGAGCTCCCACAGCTCGGACAGCGGTGGCACGAATTGCTACCACCATCACCAGCAACCCTCGATGACCGGTTTCTTGACCCATCACGCGAACAAGTTGCACATACTCTCCCCCATCTCTGACAAATCGTCCCAAGAGCCCGCCTCCGAGACCTCGGATAACAATCGGAACAACAACTCGCAGAAGGCCTCGCCCGAGGAGAACGTGACCACCGAGAACAACGTGACCGCCTCCAACAACACCAACACGAACACCGGAAACACGAATTCGGTTACTTCGCCGATGGACACGTCGTTCAAGAAGAGGCGGACACCCCAGAACAAGAATCTGATCAATTTGGCCCTGCAATCCTCGTCGTCGGGCGATGCGGAGATCCAGGGATCGGACAGCGGGATCTCGATCGAGTCGCGGGCCGGGATCAAGTGCAAACCGTTCGGTTTCCACTTGTTGAAACCGCAATTGGACAACATCAATCTGGTGGACAACGAGCCCGAGCTCTCCGATCTCCCTTTCGACATGCCGAAGCTGCGTAGAAGACGATTGCTTATGCAACAGGACGCAACCACATCTGGGAGCGCGACGAGCGTGGATTTGAGGGACTTGCCGTTCGACATGCCGAAACTAAAAAGAAGGCTCAGATGCATGCAGAGCACGGAATCCAGCGGATCCCAGGCATCCTCCAGCCTTTCCGTGCGTGACGTCGAACCGCCCGCGTTGTTCGGTAAGTCTCACAAGTGTGATTTTTATTTCCGTTGTTGAAGAGGCGATCGTTTGATAACGTTTGTGTATGTTGTGTATCGAAATTTTCCTCAATATCCGATTGAACGAACTCTAACCGAGTTATTCCAATTATATGTTGTTAAGAATAAGAATAAACACATAATGCATTACAATTTGAAAAATTAGATATGCCATTTGATCCAATTATTTGAAGCTTAATTTTTTTTAAATGAAAAAGTAGTAAAGATATCAAAGACAGATTTCTATTATGTCCTTCTTATTGGATAGATTAATTACATATATGATAGAATCCTGCTGTATAATATAATTGATTAAAATGATGTATAAGAATTTTCATAAGGAAAATTATAATTTCTATCAATCTTTTTCCAAATTTTTCTTTTCATTCAAAATTATTTATAATTTTATCGTGTAATAATTTTATATTTTTGTCTCGATGAAAATTTGTTGTCCAACGAAGTAAATGGTTTCTCCCTTCTTTAATCGAGCGTCTAGCCATTAAAAACCGTACTTTCGGCATCTCGAGATGAACTAAATACTTATCAACGCAGGGGGACACCGTAATTTGATGCTGATCGTTATGAACCTTCCAGACAGCGGCTAATATCGTTAAGCTTCACTTAGCGCTTGCATCCCTCTCAGAGGCTAAATATTTAACGTTATCAACACACATCCCTTAATACAACTCATACTTCGTACACTTAACTTCGTATCTACCATCGTTCTGTCGAATTGGAGTAAAATCCAGAATACCATTCGTACAAAATAACAGAGAGAGAAAGGTTTCTTTGAATTTTAATTCCTTCGATTTCTCTCGTTCAATTATATCGTGTTAATTTATCCTTGCAATCAGAGTGTTGCTTTAAGGAACGTTCCTTTAATGCAAGTTCGAAAGTTTTAATTAACGTCGCCTCGTGTGTATTTTCCTCCGAAACTTTTCATTGTTTGGAAAGTCGTGAAATGTTTCGAATGTACTTCAGCAACTAAAACTTTTCAAAAGCGTGGAAATAGAGTACTTGTCACTAGAGTGAGAAATCCAGCGAGGCTTAACTCGATTTGTCCAGTCACTACGAATTAGTTATGCACTGCTTGCCGCTGTATAAACACAGATTACTCCCAGTAGTAATGCGACGCATAACACGACGAACGTGAATCTATTATTGTGATTTGCACCTCTGAATCTCGTTCGTTGATTTGAACCTTTGGTGAAAGGTAAATTGGATGAAGAAACGAATTAATAATTTGGGCGTCTAGAAGAAAAACATATGTTTCATAGAATTTATAAATACAATTTAAAGATAACAATTTAAAAAAGGAATCCCTTTAATTAATTTTATAATATTGTTTTTTAAGAATTTTAAATATACGACTTATATAAGATGTGTTTTAAATTTTCTTTCTTAAGACATAAAATTTCTTTCATCTTTTTAAATATTAGAACATCTATTCCTCTATATCGTAATTCTTTAAGGAATTAGAATACAATCAATTAAAAAAAAAGAAAAAAAAGAAACAAAAATCAATCAATCAAAGTAAAGTAATTTATGCCATCCAAAGATCTTATCGTTCAATACCTTAATGCTCCTTCGAAGAAAGATGGATAGAGGGAGGGATTTGCTCATAGATTTATGCGTCATCGATCACCGATAGCCCTTAATACTTGAATTTGGCCACGATTTGCGGGCTGCATCAGCAGGCGTTCGAAATTAATCGGCTGATTAAGCTTCTGGTCCCTCGTTCTGCAACCAGTGTCGCGCTCACGAGCTTCCCTAAGTTGAGCGCCTGATGGGAGTTTGAGCTGGCAGCCTCCCTCCAAGCATCGAAATTGCGAAAGCTCTAACGCGTGAGCTTCGAAGTGACATTGCCTACGGGCGAAATCAGCGCTGTATTGGGTAAATAATGGTGTGACGGTACATACTAGAATGATGCGAATGCGTTTGTGTGGAGTTATCTCTCGTTTGTGAGTGGAGATAACTCCATAAATGGATATCTCTTTAATCGTTAAACTCTTCTATTTAAAACAAATTTAAAACAATGTTATATCATTGATGAATTTTATTTGTATTTTCTTTGGCACTTAAAGCAAACGATTCTTGAATGAATTTTCATTAAAAAAATTTCGTATTATCAAAATATTATTTAAAAATTTATCGAATATTTATAAATGATTAATCCCTATGCAATTAAAAAAAATGGAGCAAATATTATTTGGAGTAAATAATATTGATTTTTGAAACATCAGTTTGTAATAGATTTCATTTGAACTATTTTGCAATTGTTCAAAAGTACGAAACACACGACAATATTAAAAATAAAATTTTGGACAATTTTTGTAGGATATTTTCTTATTCAATTTAACATCATTAATTGTTATTAGATTGTTATTAGATCTTCGTAGTAAAATCTATTAACAAATATAATATTTTTACAACAATAATATATGTCACGTGAGAAATATCCATATACTTTTGAACAAGAATGTATATATTGGTAGAGAAGATGGGTTAACGGAGAATGTAAAAATGAAAGAGTTATTTTTAATTGATCGAATGTCAATAAATGGACGAACGTGCAACGATTTGATTCTTTCGAAAGCATTGGATATTGGAAAATTAATGGATAATGAAAATTAATTACCGATGGTTGAAGCAAAAAGAGAAAAATCGCGAAGATAATGAATTTTTTACACTTTGATGGGATTTGAATTTGTTCGAAAATTTCTTCACGAGATATAGAATTTATCAAAAATATTTCTGAACTTCATTAAAAATGATCGTATAAACGATACAGAAATATTATTGATAGTTCAATAATATTATTTTTTTATCAAAGTTATACAAAATATCACAAAAAATAATAATTCTGACATATATTACCAAAAATTTCAATGAATTCTCTTATTTATTCCATCTTGTTATGTATTGCTATATTTGATTTCCTTCGTGTCTCATTTCGTACATCCATTCACAACCGAATTCTCGATTCTTGTGATCAGTCGAGTCAGCTGCGATTGTATCTAAATGACATTTTTTTCTCCAGCTTGATGGATTCTCGACGCGGATAGTAGGCTAAATCACATTTTGAAGAGGGAAAGGGAACGCGATTCGCACGCGATTGAGAACAGATTCCCGAAAATCTACTTTTTTCCATCGTCCAAAGTGTCGACAATTACCGATTAGATGGCAAACGCGAATGATGGATCGGTGTATTTGTTTCTCAACCTGGCTGATTTTATGAAATTACACATTGATGGATCGTCAATGGTACAAAAAAATACTAATTTCCGAAACAATTGGCAATCGTAGAAACTAATAAGAAGCCGACAAATTTAACGAGAAAAAGATTAATATCGATAAATGGTTTTTCTTTTCATTTCCTCTTCTCTTGTTTCATTGATGGATCGTTGATAGCGCAAGAAAATACTAATTTTCGGAACAATTAGTCTCTGATAAAAAGCTTCTGGTTAAACGTAATACGAAATTCATTAAATAAAATAAAGAGACAACGAAGAAACAAAATAATAAAAGAAAATACAGCAGAAGAAAAAAATATTCATATTATCTCGAATTTACTAAGAGAAATAAACAATACTTTTTAAAATATTTTCCATGTATAATTATTTTTACTTTTAAGGTTTCTTCATTATTTTCTCCTTAATAAAGGGGAATTTCTTTTTTTTTTCTTTCCTTTTCTTCTTATTAAGGATTGATTTACATCTAAAAAAATTACAATTATTTTCCACATTGGTACGTTTAATTTTTTTACCAAGATTAGTAAAGACGATGAAAGAAGCTTTTTATCAAAAAGCACATCGAATTTAACGAGAGAAACATTAATATCGATGATACAGATTTTTCGTTTATTTATTTATTTTTTTTTTAATGTTGCTGATGTATTAGATTCAAGCTTTAATTGGCCTTCGATCAACGGCATCGCTTTTCTGTCAGCGGCAATAAGCTTCGTGGAAATATTACGTCATTTCAATAGGGTAATTGGAAGGCAGCAACGCGTAAAGCGTTGAACGCTGTACAATAATGAACAGCTTTTGCGTGGGTAGTTTTTGTGTAGGTGAAATCGTACGGGTGGTCTCGTAGACGATTTTTTATTTTCGATGAAATAGAGAGGGAACGATGTTTACAAGAAATGTTACGTTTTACTTGCATTTTTTTCTAATATCCCATTAGTAAATGAAAAATGTTTAAAAGTATTATGTCTTTTCAAATTATTCCAAACAAAAATTAATATTTATCCTTTCTATTTCTTAACGAAATAATAATTTCAATTCTTCATCCATGAAAATTTAATTTTTACATTTTATTATACATCTATCGATACACGTTTCATTGTAGTCCATCTATGAAAATCACGATAATAATAATTCAGACAGAAACTTACGTAAAAATCCACAAATAAACAAGTTAAATTGAACAAAAGATAGGCAATCCAATGTTGAAAACAAAGAGAGAGAAAGAGGCAGGTTGAATGAAACCTGTTCAAATTAAAAGCATAATCGTTCCACGATCTATTAAACTTCTCGAAAGAGTTTATCCCGTAGAATTAAACAGGGTATTTTCCGAAAGGGTGATTTTCGATTCGCCCCTCGTTTTCGTCCCCCTTTCGCTTTCTCCTTTTAGCGTTTCATCCGACGGACGACTAACCCGGAAGAAGCACGGTTCCGTATTGTGCTTCCGAACAAAACGTCCGAGGTTGCACCCGTTAGTTCGTTCGTGTCCACAATACGCGTGGGCCCAGTGACGCGAATATGGAGCGGGGCTCGAAATCCGCAATATCTTTGTCCCCGTGTGCTCTGCACATGCTGTATGTATTCGTGGCGTGTGCATTCTTTGCACGGACGGAAGTTGAGGACGCGCGCACGCGCGCGACACGTGTGTTTCGTGCACAACAGGTTCAGCAGCTGGAGATCCGCTGCTGTCATCGGTAACGTAATCGTGTATTGGAAATATCGGAAATATTACGCCC